CATCCGCATATTCATCAAACATTTTTATGACATTTTTCTGGAAACTAAATTTATTTAGCATTTTATGCATGGAACAAAAATGCATGTTATATTATATTTGATATGTGAAAGTCCGGCTTTTTGCCTTTAGACCAAAACACGATGCATTGTTATTCAATCTTCCATTATTTGTATTCATTAAATTACAAAGCCCTATCGTATTTGTTAACAATAACTGCACTTTATTAAATTCGCATGGCTATATATAATATTTTATTAAATTCGGCTCTTTTGTTGTTTGTTTTCGGTGTATGAAATTTATTTACATACCTCATAAACGGCCCGTTTGTTTGCTTCATATGTCTAACGTAAATATAAAGAAGAGTTTTACCCATTTGGAAAAATTTTAAATACAACCCGAAAAGTACAAAATGCCCGGCAATTAATAAATATCGAAGGGAATGGCGCTAATTAGAGGAGGAAATTTTAATTTCGCCCCGAACGACGGATAGCCCTGTCTAACCTGCGGCATTTTAAATATTTAATATTAGCCCGCTTTCTCTCTATATTGAAACAACCACGAGCTATTTCAATTTCGAAACCGAAATTCACAACAAAGAATTTATTCATTGCCTTTCCTAGCAGAAAAATAACCCCAAACGTTTTAATAATCGATTAATCCACGAAAAACAATCACAAATGGGTTAAAAAATTGCCAAAAAAAGCAAATATTGTGAAGCTTGATTTTGCTCTTAAGTAAGAGACTTATAGAATTGTATGAGCGCCACATCTACCAGACATTGCTCACTAAGATTTCCCTTTCACAGCCTCACCTCCATCAGCTCGGTTAGCCGCCCAGCCGACAGGGAAATTTTCCATCACGAACTCCGTGGAAAAGCCCCTAAAAAGGGCAAGCGAGGCGGATTGGATTTTCCTCGTGCAATCGCTCAAAGACAAATTGAACTTTTTGATGTGTTCCATTCCGAAAATCAAACCGCATACGTCACCGTCAAGGGGCGAAAGTGTGCCGTCGCGGCGGGGGCGTCGCGACGCCCGCCCGCCCGTCATTATTTGCCACATTATGTATTATGGAGACGTCGAGCGCGCGGAACCGAACAGAACGGAAGATTTATTGCGTATTAAACAAGGGAAAATTTTCATATTCTTGTTTACAATTCCTGATGTGAAATATATTGAAAGAGCACTCCCTAAATATATTACAATAGCTTTAGAGGTTTCTGTATGTGTACACAAGGTCTATAGTCTGTAGCACTTCTTGGTATTTCTTCTATGTATATTCTATAGCGTAACATTTGTAGCTAACGGGAGATTTGATATTTTAGAGATATCATACATTTTATTTTCATTTAAACAGGTTGTCCCAATTCTGTGTTCTTGATACAAGAAATAAGCAACATCTTTGGTACTTAATTAATGAAATAAACGGCGGTTTAAGTAATAAAACAATAAAGAAAACACAGTAAATATCGTTAGATCGCAAGCGTGTAATTTTATGCACCATACCTGACCATTACACGTAACTTTTGGCACTTGAACCAGACTGTCCCGATTATGTATCATCGAATGCGCCCAGTAAAAACAGGAACGACGGCCAGCTCGTTTATTATAAATAAATCTGCACGCATCCGAATCGCTCGGAATTTTATTCGCACCTTGTAATAGTCGCGGAATAATCGTTTAGTAAGTGCTAAGATTGCTTGTAAATATTTTTAATTGCGCGGAACAATTTTTTTGTACTGTGTTACAGGGTGATTCAATAATGAAATGAAATTCGCCTCGTATATTAAGTCGTATTTAAAGCCGTGGAATATTTCGACGAAAAATTTAGGGAAATTTGAAAAAGTTTTCGTGTCTCATTCAGCGCTCTATTCACCGGCTTGATATTGATTTTAATCAGTATGAGCTTCTCCTATTTTCTATTATGCGGCAGGAAAAACGCCGGATTTCCTAATAAAAAAGCGCTGGAAAAACGACCCAATGTTTTGTTGCCCCGGTCATTTATGGAAAAGATTACTTTTTTAATTCAATTTCGCTCAAAACCCATCAAATCAAATCGACTTCGGCGAGTGCAATGATAATAAAACGCTCAAAACGTTGTTCGTTTTGAGAAACTTTTAAATTAAAACGTGTCAGAATGTCGTCGATTTTGCCGATAAGATACCGTGAATTCCCCTTTTTATTAGCGCCACGGCGAAGCGAAAATGCCGGAGGAATTCCCGGAAAATATGGTGATAAAACAAATCGCTCTAACGGAGTATTCCGTAATAAAAACGCGAAAGAGGTAGGTACCTAATTGAAAAATTATTAGAAGTGCGGGGAAAAAGCCCGGTATCTCCGGCTATACAGGATTTCTCGCACGCCCGGGAAATATTTTAATTCCGGTTGTTGTGAAATTGACATGGAAATGCTTGTGAATGATAGAGAGAACGTTGAGCATTAAAAACTAAAAACTCCCGCCCAATAAAAAAAATTACGATTAAAAAAAAAGAATAGGGGATGATGATGTTAATCCCTAATAATTAAAATGAAGCTTTGAAAATATTTACTTACTAACCTCGAACTGTATGGGGTGAAATCTAATAAAGGGACAGAATTTGTTGAAATTATTTTATATGAAAAATCGACTTTAATTATTATCTTGTTGGTTCCTGAATTTTATCGCACTAAAATATATAGCTAAGAACTATTTAAATCCCAATTTAGCTAAATTTATGGCATTCCGAGTTTCAATCCTCAAACAAACTCCGTCCATTTGCAAGTCTATTTCTTCATCTACTATTTTTATGTCAAAAGAAAGAAAGACAAAGTGTAAGTAAATTCGTCCATTTAAGCATTCCCGATCCGAGAAAAACTCTCGTTTCATTGTAACCTGCAATAAAAACGGGAATTCGAGCAAAAAAACGGATCCCAAGGATCCGAAAAATATGCAGATGGATACTCATGGACGGCTGTAAAATAGATTTTACGGCTTTCGTCGCACGCCAGTTATTCCCATTCCGAGTAGCTCGAATAGCTGATTCTTCTGCAATAAGAATGAGTATTTGAAATATCCCGACCGACTGACTATTTTCGCGATAGGCCTGCGGTTTGACGGATGCCGTGCACGTGTAATTTCCCCGCAAAACACTTGTCGTTTTTCGTTTTACATGCACAAGTTACACGCACAAGTATCTCAGAATGTGCTAGCTTTTTTTCCCTACCAGTTATTTATAACAGCTGAATAAAAATCTCGTTGGTCTTGCAATTTAAATCGCTCAAACGGAAATAGTTCAAATTGTGTTTACTTTTTTATCTATACATAGTGAAAATACTTAAATAAATAGTTAAAATGGTGGAATATCTGCTGAGGATGAAACGATCATAGTTAAAGAATTATTAGGAGAAAATTTGATTGTGTGAGAAAAAGAGGAATAGTGGAAAGTTCTTTACAATCTTGGTGTTAGGAATGAGATCAAGGGAACTCTACATAGAAGAATTAGAATAAAAGCTCCTAAAGCTCTGCGTTTAAAAAAGCTTACACATGTGTTGGGGACTTTCTGCCTGGACCATTTGATCCAAAATACCAAAGGATTATTCATACACACTGTGGAAGAAATATTGAGTTTAAGCCATCTTTGAGCTTAAAATAAATTATGGATAGACTGTGGAAGATGAAAATACCGAGAAATCTTAGTCATATAGAAATTGGATCAAAGAATCTTATTTAGATAAATAAAAGAGAAAAAAACTCTTTATAGAAAGTTCTTTAAAAAGAAGTTTAGTAATTTTTTTAAATTTTATATGGAAAATGAGAAAGTAAGATCAAACTATGGAATGCATTGAAATATCTCGATATTAGAATTTGGATTAAGAAAACAATACCTACAAAGAAAAGTATGTCAAGCTCCTGAAATTCTTAGTTTAATAGGATTACACTGAGCTTTAAAAAGCCTTTTAAATAATTTATTAATTTGGGTATTATTAATTGCGTTAATCGATCTTCTAAGCGTTAATTGTACTACTTATTTTGGAGATATTGATTTTTATATAATCATTGCGCTTTACTTTACAAGTGCTGCTGCTTAAAATTATCTAAAATTAATTATAACGTATAAAAATTATTTCACATTTTTTTTAATTTCAAAAAACGAAACAAAACACTATGCAACAATCCTAGTTAACGAACTCAGCCAAACTAATTGCGCAACGTGTAATGGAAGTTCTGAAACGCGCGATTAAAAAAGCGCCCAACTCCGCGCAAACTTTCCCGAAAGTTCCGGGCCCGGAGAACACGCAAATTCCATTCGAACCAAAAAAAACCAGAAATTACAAGCCCAACAACATCTAAACTACGAGCATATTATACAATGTAAACACCATCATTAGTAAAACAAGTCCTAAGTACCACCTACTTGTCAGATCGTCGGGGATCCCCCTGGACCGGCCTTCGAGCGACCGCGTGGCAGGAAAAACAACAGGACCAAACCGCCGATTTACTACAATATCGCAGGAATTCAGAGGACCGTTCGGCGCGCGAACAAAATTCAATTACATTCAACGAATTAATCGAGAGTCACTCGGGTCGATTGGATATGTGTTGTTTGTTGCAAAAGGGTGATCCGGATGAAGGGAGGTTGCAGGTGCCGAAACGTGTGGCGTACGAGAACTGTGCCCACAGAGGACTGAGAAGCGATCGGAGCGGAGTTTAGAGCGGAGTCGTCGACGCGCCGTTCTCGACGAGAGGTTTTTCGAAATGAGAACGGGGATGCTGCGGCGCGCTCCTGCGACGTTCGTCCTTTTCCCGCGCAGGACGAAGAGCGAGAGGCCGGCGGGACGCGCGTCAACGCGAGTCCCCGTGAACTATATTTAACGTTTTTTTTTTGTATCGTGAAATATGTTTAATTGGTGATTAGTTTTTGATTTTTTTCTTTACTGGAGTAGCGCTATTTTGTAACAAAATTTTAGAATTTAGATGTTTTAATAGACAATCTGTAGAAATACTATTTTAATTAAACGGATAACATTACTATATTTAATATCTTATTTAATAAATTCTGTGGTTGCTCAATTCGTTAATCTCCTATAAAACCGAGTTGCTTCGGGAATACCGGCCATATCACTAGAGAGTGTCTAAAAAAATACAAATTATAAATTGGTCATTTTTAAATTGCACGAGTCATACACTCACCATTATCAAACCGTTTTCGAAAAAATCGAAATGTCTTCTTCCTCTTTCTCCTTTAGCACCTATCGAATCTATAGTGATGTCATCGTCACCAACAGTTGTATAACTCTGCAAACACAATTATAATACTGAGTTTATCGAGCGATTCTTTTTTATCTACTTATGTAATAAATTAACCGATGAAAATTGTTGAAATTATAATGCATTTCGCCCTACCTGAACGACGTCTAAAGCAGCCAGTTTTTCCTCGACGGTTTGGTCTATTTTCAATACAGAAGTTGTCGAGTGTGTGTCCAATTTGGTGGTTATCGTAATTTCTTTTTCGTTTTTAGTAATTATCAAAGTGGGTTTCAAGCTGTCGACCACTTGGGCTTTTTCCGAGGGAAGGCCTGAAATAGTCATGAATGAGAGCGATGCTTATAAAGGGTGGCCCAAATTTTACTTGCAGGACGTTGCTTGCTAATAAATTGAACTGATTTTATCACTAATAAGGACCTCATTTCATTGGTACAGGATGTCTAAAGTAAACTAGTTTTGTCAAGTTAAGTCTACTTCACTGAAAAAGTCCTGTTTGTAAAACCTCAGACAGCCTGTATAGAATTCCAGTGAATAGAGATATTTTGCATCACTGAACTATTAAAAAAAGTTGATGTTTGAAAAAATATATACGTATGTAGATGAAGCAATTTATTTAATAGCACCTGTTTGAAATTTAATTTCCAATTTTTTTTATTCATTTTATCACTACCTAACCTAAATTTAAGTACATTCTAAAGTTCAATAACGAAATCGGCTTGTGTTAATACACATCTTAATTTAAGTATTTTGTAATTACAGACTTACCAAAACATGTGAAATATTAAAAACGAATGCCGTATCAAAGTAATACCTACTTACAGGTAAGTAATTATTTATTTAATCTTGCTCACTGCATTGGCATCACGCAAATATTTGTTTCCAATTGAATTTATTGAAACATTTTCTATTGATAAACAAACACATGCCCTAAATAAACACGCTTATCTAGAACCTACATTAAATTGACATTAAACTAGAATCAAAAACTTACCTAGAGCCATCAGGTACTCGTAGAAACGTTCGTTCATAACGAGTTTGAATTCACCTTCCGTCCTATTAGACATTTTAATCGAATTAACGGATTATTATAGCTGAATTGTTCGAAAATATCCTGCAACAAATTACCGAGTCTTCAATATCGCGATTTTCGCACAGATAACAGACTTTATCTTGGTGTGTATAATAACTATTATTCATCAGGATTAATGCGTATTATATACTCAGAAAAATGGTTGCGCTCTATCCGTGAGGCGCTTTCTTCTTTCTTTTTATAAATTATCAGCTAGATTTATTGTTTTTAGGGATGGATCAAAAGTCAGATTGATTGCAGTTGATATACAAGATTGTAAAAATTAAGTTTAAGAGGTTGTATAAAATTTTTTTCCAAGTGTAGATTAATGTATAATAATTGTTTATGATTATCGATAATCGAATTTGCTTATTACATTAATAAATTAACCATATGGTTTATTATAAGTATCTACATTTAGAGAAAATAAAAATTAACAAGTATTTAATTGATTACTTATTATTCACCCTGTATTTTTTCCAACTATTACAGATCAATACAAATCACATTTACGTACAGTACAATATTACCTGTAGCAAATTGTAAATAAATATTATCCAACTTTAAACGAAAAATCCAGCATGATGTTAACGAAAACAACGCGACAAAAATATAGTTGAGCAATTCCCGTTATCATCCTATAGGCTACAAAAATCGTTCATTATTTAAAAGTAACCACAATACAAAACTGAAAATTTACAAACAAAGCGACAAGAGATAACCTTGTTGATGCTCATTGCTCATCCTCATTCGATCATACTCATTCAATCGCCGTATCGAAGCGTTAAAACATTCACTGGTCATTCGAACATGTGGCTCGTGAAATTAGGCGCGTTCTTCGCGTTTTGCGCTCTGAACGCCGAATCCCAGTATTTCGATTCCATCGCGATAAAAGTGTACCGAAGAGACCAGCCCGTGACGCTCGTAAGAGCTGACAATGTAAACGACGAGAAAGAAATCACTGATGTGCTGATAGAAAACGAAGTTGTGCCGGTTTTGAAAACGGGGTCCTTCCAAAATTTGACCCTGTTGAAGAGTATCTTGATTCAAGGCAGCAATTTGCGGATATTAGAACCGTCGCCGTTCGTGAACTTGCCCAGTTTGAGGATAATCAATTTGAATTTCAATAGGATCACCGAAGTTCCCGAAGGAGTGTTCGCCAATTTGACCGTCGCGAAAATCAGCCTGAGAGGAAACGGGATAAGAACTTTGAGCCCCTACGCCTTCTACAACCTCACCAACCTGGAGCACCTGGATTTGAACTCCAACAGCATCAAGATAATCCCCGAAGATCTCTTCTACCTCACGCAAAACCTGCGATCTTTGGACTTCGGCTACAACCAGTTGGAGAGTCACAGCGACATTCGACCTTACAGGTTCTTCCCCGACGTGTTTGCTAACGTTAACGAAGACAAGAATTCTATGCTGGATTTAAGCAACAACAACTTTTTGGAAATTAACAACAACATGTTGCTGGGCGTTCAATTCGTTGGGGAATTGTTGTTAAGCAACAACAACATAAGGAGAATTGGAGACGGGGCTTTGAAGGACCTCAGGTGGAGCATGCTCGTTGATTTGGAAGGAAACAACTTGAAGAAATTGAGTGATGGGGTTCTAAAGACACTGACAAATGTTAGGGATATTAATGTTCAAAATAACCCGTGGGAAAACGACTTTGTTTGTAAATATAATAAGTGGTGCAGCGATTTTAATATCGAAAACACGATGGATATGTCTTGTTTATCGGCGAATGAAACAAGTTGGTGGAATAATTTCTGAAATATTAATCAAATTTCGGCGCTGCATTGAAAATTATAGGACATATTATCCAGCAAAATCCTCGATTTCCTGCTGTATAAACCAGTCATAGCGTCGCTCGTAACAATAAAACCTTTAATATCTGCCATATTATTAATTATTATAGTACTTGCACAACTATTTTCGTTTATTGGATGGCTTTAATTTCGATTTGAAAAATAATGTGCAGAGGACGCAATTTATGTTGACTAAAACCAATTAAATATTCCAATATAAACAACACAGGAACTGAAATAATTTTCGTAATTGTTAATAGTTAATAAAATAGCTGCCATTTTAAATAATGTATAGAATTTTATTTTTGTATCTTTATATTCAGGTTATAAAAGTGTACAATGCAATGAATAAAATACATAATATCTCCAATAAATTTATATAACATGTTTTTTTAAGTATATTTTATCACTGTTGCTCGAAAAAATTTACCTAAGCAAACAGTGCATGCAAAAATGTAATGGAATGGTTTAGAACAAAGTTCATTGATGTATTATCGATAAAACCACTTTTATATAGGTACTCAAACCCATATCTATATAAAGAGTACCAAGCCTCCAGCTATTCCATTGCATACCGAGCAGTTAAATAATTCTCCAACGAAATGGGTGTAATTGACGGAACCTACCAATTGGTCAAAAACGACAAATACGTGGAACTACTAACAAAACAAGGTAATTTAAAAATTTTCTAATTTGTTCAGTACAATTGTATTATTTACTAAATTTTTAGGAGTTCCTGAAGAGCAAGCTAAGCAAGCTGATAGCTTGAAAAGTACTCTTCGTGTGAAAGTCGACGGTAAAAAAATTGTTTTAAACATCGATGATACGGTCAGAAAAGTAGAAAATGTTCTTGTCGTCGGAGAAACCGTTGAAGAAAAAGTCTTCGGTGATGCCGTAGGTTTGGTAAGTTATCCAGTAATATTTGTTGCTAAGGAGAATTATCTTTAGAGTCCCATAATTTAGCAGATATTAATTGAAGGTTATTTTTAGTAATATTCTATTATATTAATGTTTTTAGAGTACTACAACATTGGAAGGAAACACTGTTAAGGTACGCTCTGTGGATAAAGAAGGAAAAGCCACCGCAATTGACAGAACCTACAATTTCTCAGAATCAGGATTAGAAGTTGTAAGTTTATTGCATTATTTACAGTAAAATTAGTAACAAAATGGGTTATATTAATGTTTCAGGTCATCGAAACTAAGGCCCAGAAATGCACTCGCTCTTACAAAAGGATTTGAAATCGGTTACATATTTTAATTTTTATATAAAAAATTGATATATAATAAAAGATTTTATTATACAAATTTCGTAGCATTAATTTCGAAACACCCTCTCTATATTACACCACGCACAAGCACATGCATCAGTATGCAGGCGATCGTCCAGGGGCGTAATAACGCCTAAATATTTCATAAACCCGCGCGGTTACAGGGGATGCTATTCATTCCGCTAATCCCGCCAATTTAATTAACAGCCGCCATTTTCGGCTAATGTTGTATTAATAAGCAACGTCCGTTCCTCGTCTAGCAACTCAACCCGCCCAAGAACAACAGCAAACATTCCACCGGCGCAAACGAATACGTTTCCGTCGGCGAAAATAAATATTACGGATCGAGGCGCGGCCGAGTGCTCACGCTCTGTATATGCGATAGCAGGAAGCACAAACTCGGCACTTTTGTCTCGATTATCGCACACCCTGGGACACGCAAAGGGAGGCACGACACAACAACGCCGCGCCGAGTCGCCTGCGAATACATCCAGTCGGGGTTAATTAAAACTTATGGGGCGCGAAAGTTTGTTTGCTGCGCCGGCTGATCCGGGATACTCGTGTCCGCTCGTTAACGTGTTGTTGCGTCCCGCCGCGTCGGCTGGGGAGACATCCATTCTTCGGTTTCGCCACAATGGTATATTGTTGATAAAAATTACTAGGACTCTAGTACAGGTTGCTGTATCCAATTTAATTCGTTTATGTTGCAAACCCCTTTGCGGGTTCGTTTGTATTTCGTCAATTTTCCTTCTATTCCAATCCGAAATGATGCATTTTTTGGTAACAAGTATTTTGTTATTTGATTCAAAATTAAAGTGTTACAAAAGTAAATTATGCTGTACAACAGTTTGAACAATTTACGGTGGCGTCAATTCACCATATTTTATTGTAATTTATTTATGGCAACATATTTTCGCAATCTAAATGCATGGAACATGAGCTTTTCGGATGCGAAAGCTCTGCCGTAACGATACCGACAGTTAATTTCATGTTATAATAACATTGTGTTCGCCCCCGGCGTTATTCGAATATACGTGTAATTAGGTAGCGGGCGAAGTAATGCAGGTTATACCTAAACAACTTTCCTGTAACGCAGAACGTACCTGCTAATTAGATCAGGAACTTTCCGGATTTTATTGTGGTCCGTAGAACGTACTAAAATAAAATAATTTGACGTTTAAGCTGGTATAATCCGGATATATTAAAATAGATGTGACGTCATTCGCTTCGTAAATATTTCTAACTATAGACGAACTGAATTTTTAATATTTTCTCGTGGAAAACTTCTCTTTTAGCGAAGCGCCGTATTTAATAAACGAATGCTCTTCTCGGTACACCTTGGAAGTTGCGCGCTCGGCGTTTTATGTATAAGGCTACATTAAACACTAAACCCTAAATGTATAGCGAATAATTATTGATGAAATCAAAGCCCTCCATTAGGTGGCCTTTGATGTTGTTAGGCCGCCTTGTCGGGACCAAATCGTATTACATTTCTGACTAAACAAGCAACTTCAATCAGATTGATTTTTGAATTTAATTGTTTGATAATTTCGTTGTGAGCCCGAGTAAGGATTTCACCTGATTTGATATAAATATGTTTATTAATATACTAATTAATACATCTAATTGTTAGTTAGTTTTGAAATCAAACTTGTTAGTTAAAAATTTCGAAAATTTCGTGTAATTTTAAACCAATTTGTGTTCCTACAAGGTTGCACTAAAATGTGCACTGTTATAACCTGTAATATTCAGTTTATGCAAGATAAATATCTCGAACGTAAAACACCTACTCATAGCGTTCTTGAAACTTTCGATTCTTTTATTTTCACGGTCGTATCCTTTCCGTATACTTCCTTATAGAATTATAGCGAACAATATAAAATGTCCTTCGTTTTTTGCGAACTATAATAACGTTCTTATTTTTTTATTTGCTTTCATTATCTGATTTGCGATAAAACAAACACTTGTTTTCTTACATAAAAATATATATTACACGCCTAGTTAAATATAAACGCAAAGACAATATTTATTGTTCGATAAATCGAACGAATATATCGATCACAAACGTCCAAAAACAGGACTTAACAGCCCTTAATATCTCCGAGAAAAACTCCGGTAACAAGTAGAATATATCCAATTAACCACAGAATGGATAATTAGGACAAGCATTGGGATCCACACCAGCAGGAACCTGAGCAGGTTGTCCATGACTTCCACTCTGACTAAATCTATATTGTCCCGTTGGCGCTCCATTGTACTGTACCGCAGGATTGCTGGGCCTCACGTTCAAATTCTCAACAACACCGGCGTTTTGTCGGCCTACAAAAACATTTTAAATCCCCAACATTATCTACATTTATCCCAACTCCTCACCTTCGAATCCCGGAGCCAAAGCTTCCGCCAGTCCTTCACCATGATAATCCCCATCTCCAATGTACTCGCCTCTATCCAAGGCGTTTTGTACTTCAGAAGCGTACTGACCGGGCCCGGCAGGAGCTCCAGCAGCCTGTCCAGTCGGCTGGAACAAAGGCGACTGCGTGTACCGATTAGGCTGCTCGTATTGGATGGGTTGCTGGTATTGAGCCTGAGGCTGTTGGTACTGGGGCTGCTGGTACTGAGGCTGTTGGTATTGAGGTTGTTGGTATTGACTAGGCTGTTGGTATTGAATAGGTTGTTGGTATTGGGCGGGTTGCTGGGGCGCCGGTGCGTACTGGGCTCGAGCTTGCTCGGGCACTTGGTTTACGGCTACTGATGGATTCGAGCACACCGGGAAATTGGGGCAAGCTTTGGGATCGACGCCTGCTGGATAGAGCGCAGCTGGCTGGCCTCCTGCTAAAGGTCCATTGTAGGCAGCTAGTGATGCTGTTAAACAGCAGAATAAAACCGGCTGAAAATGTACATAGAATTGTAAAGATAGTGAGTATCTTCAAAGGTGTAGCTAATAATGTTAATGATTCTTGTAAAAATGAACAATGTAAAATAAACGTGTTGGAATTTATAAAATTATGTAGATAAATGAATAAAAAATGTGTGTACTCACCATGCAAGATTTAGCGAACATTTTCGTTATATGTTCCAAACGAAGAGTGCCCACTGGCTAAAATCGTTTTGAATATATAGGATCACCACGCCCAGCGTTCAACCGTGAACTCGCACGAAATTTACTCTTGTTTTTCGTAACGGAGTAGGCAAATTTGATCATGTGTTCGTCTAGATTCCTGGTCGGCTCGCTTCAAGAACGGAGCCGGGGCAGCGCCTTTCGAAGGCTGTGCACTTTTACTCGTTTCGCACGGCGCCCGTTTCCCACGGAGTATCATCGGGTGGCTCTCGTTTCGCTTCCGAAACAGGAAGTATCGAATTGTAAGCGGCCAGAAATTTGCATAAAAAATTCGCCGCCCGGACGTTTTTAAAAAGGAAAAGGTTAACAAGAAGTATACGACTATAAAATTGGTTCTTGTAGTTTGTAAAAAATTATACAGTTTGTATAAATGTAAATCGTTTAGGTAGAGGAAGTGCGCCATATATGGACCACCATAAGCACTTTTCTCAATAAAAAGTCGAATTTTAAATTTGAATCAGCTTTATTTATATTAAATGATTCCTTAATCATTTAGTTAAGAAAAACTCATAATAAAATTCTCCAAAAAAACAGAAACTTTGAAATATTTTCTAAAGTATATCATTTTTATGAAGTTTCAGAAAGTGAACATAATATGGACCACATCCAGATTTTTCCATTTCTAGAATATAATTGACTTCATCTTCCAATTCACTCGGTAATGTTAATTGTCTCCCAAGTTTTTGGGTGGTGATATCTTTAAGTGATTTGTTTTGGGTGTATGTTTTGGAAGCATTTTGGAAGCCCATTTTCTTTTCTCGTGCATTTTTAATTTCCTCCGCCATTGCGTTTTTTATCCCATGCTTGTCGGGTCTTCTCTATTGTTTTAGAAGCCATTCTAGAACAAAAAAATTAATTTTTAGCCACTCCATATTTTAAACGAGCCACTGGTCCATATTGTGATATTCATTTTGAGATTATTATTTTTTTCAGAAAATTGGAATATTATAGAATATTAAAACTTAATACAATTAATTACAACATGACTCACCTTCTTCGTGGTCTTTTCCACTTTCACATAAAATAGTATTTTTTAGATTAAAAAACTTCCAAAGTTCGCTAAAAAATTAGATCGCACGTTGCAGAAAACTAAAAAAAGCTCGGTCATCGTAAATATATTCGTGCATCCTGGATCACTGCAACGAAAGATGGATCAAGGGAGGAGTGATGCTTAGTGTGTGATGATCATTTACTCGATATAAAAAACATTCTTCTTAAAATAGCGGTAGTCTATTATAAGACCGGTCCATATTTGGCGCACTTACTCTACTAATGCATTAGGTACTTTCTATCGAGTTTTATTTTAAAATCCCTTCGGTTTTAATAAAGTTACGCGGGCAATGAGGGATAAAAACCCTCGCCGGGCCGCGGCGTTTCGCCTACCCTTCTTACGAGCGGAACGGCAAATTCGCGGCGACATTTTCGGAAAAGGGCGCTCCTCTCTAAGCGGCCTCTTCGCCTACAAGGAGAACTCCGGCCCGGCAACAACCGATCGGCAACCTAATCTGACGTCTTGCATCCGCTAAAAAGCGGAAAGGCGTGAATTTTCCGGCGGAATATAAGCCATTGATGTTCGCTGTCAGATTTCGCCCCGAAATCCTAATTAAATTCGTCGATCGCGCGCCCTTTACAATATAAGTAATCTTTTTTAGATTCCGCTTCTCCGGCACCCTGTCACGCCGGAATAAATCAATCGAGATTTGCGCGTGTCTTTCGGACTCTGCCGAATTAATCTCCTGATAAATAGCGCGGAACTTTATCGATATATTTTGAACGAGGGATAACGTTTTTATGTAAAAAATACCCGCATTTCGAGCGCAAATAGTATACCAAAATGAAATCTAACACTCCTGTATTTCACCCCTGATCGGCGGAAATGGGAAAAAACGCCATTGTTATTTAATTTCGCTAAAATACGAGCTCAATCACCATTGACGGGAATAGCGCCTTCGGGAGGCCGGCCGGGCATTTTTCATCGGCCGCGACCCGATCGGGACGTGACCAGAAAAAGTTGCCGAAATCAAAGCGAACGGGCCGTTTCGTTCCGATTCCGATTTGGAGCTCCGCATTCACTTTTCACTTCACGCTCCGCGTGGCCCGCATTCGCCGGGTTAACGGAGTAGATCAGGAGTTAATGCGACGGGATATTTCCCGTATAATGGCCAAATAATTCTATCTACTAAAATTTCGTACGTTTCGAGAGTTTAACTAACTCTCCATACATGCAATTTTTGTGGAGTTTATTGGTTATAACTCGGTTTTTGTAGTAGTTTCTGGTGGACATCGGCCGTCCGCAGACGTGTTGTTTAATTGGAAATTTTGGCCGGAAACGTGGCATTTGCGTTTCTATTTGACCGGGAAAATATTCGAGGGATGGTTGGGAAACGGGCGAATTCGAAAAATCGTTTCATGAAAATTCGCGTAACAAGCGAACGATTCGATTTGATGCGAGCATTGCACGCGGACAAAAAACCGAAGGGAATGTTTCCGGCTCGATTCGGCTTTTCACAATTTTAAATAACAAAGTCGGCAACAATGAGGAGAGGAAAATGGATTATTTTATTTTTATTACGTTTCATTGTTGGAGTTATCGAGTTCCCTAATTTGGTTGTCTTTTTGCTGTTTTAAAAGTCGACCTTTTTTTGTTCATTTCCCGGGCATTATACCGGATGATTATACTCAGCAAGCGATTTTTTTTATATCTATACTTTATCTAAATCTGCAAGAATAACAATCACATAATATTACAACACTTTGTATATTTACTTGTAATTGTAGCATAAAAACAGAATTAAATCCCAAACTCCCCGGGGCTTAATAACATTAAACATTATTAACGTAAACCTATTGCGCTTCCTGGAAATAATATAATAAATAACTAAAAGCTTGTAATGAACATACAAAATTCATACAGCCAGAGTTGTACATATAAATTCTATTTTATTGATGATTTTGCATCAATCGGATGTTCAAATGCATTATGTTTCCCTAATGTTAGCAAGTGTAGTCGGATTATTAAATCCTCTTTGTGCAACTCGCTTTGTTAAATGCGTTACAGAAGCGGGTCGGTTTCTATTTCCTTTCGCGAATTTACAGGCGAAGAAAAAGTAACGTATCAATCCCAATAAAAGGCGGAAAACACAAAAAAACCTTTAGGAAAGCGACGGAATAGAGAAGAAAAACCGCTCCCCCGATATGACAGATGGAAAACCCGTATGAATAGTTCCTTTTCGCATCAGAAATAAATCTGATGGGATCGTGATTAATGATACTTCACTTTCCACTTTCCGTTGATTGGACCGGCGAACGCCGCAATTTGCCCTTCGTCCATTAATATCAATTAACAATTTCTGGCCATCGCCCGTTTTAAAAACAACAAAAAGAATAAACACCGCAGAACGGAACGATTTAATCGGAACTGATTGAATACTTCTCCCGTTGGAGAATTAACCATTATTTATGTTTCTTTAAGAGTTTAAAAAGTTGATGAAAAATTGTCTCAGCGAGTGATTTATAACACCTTCAGAACTCTTCTCTCAAGCCGTAAAAAAGACATCAAAAACTATATTTATCCCAGTGATCGATTTTTCAATTTCGAGCGATACAAACCGGGTAAATGCTAATTCGAAATCATCGCCTGCTACATGCTCGAGGAGCCGATAAAAAACGCCCGGGCATATCTCGACCGGAGTTCATTTCAGAGCATACACGATAGATTCTCTGTTCAAACAGAACTAATTCAGGGAAATTGGATTTCGACCCTATTCAACTATCTGTTCAACAAACATAAACCTTATTATTCCTCGATATTGGCGCTCTCGCCTCCCGTGCGTTTCGAATATTTCCATGTTATATGAAGTAGGGGCTAACCCAATAATAACGTCGTGCGCCGGTGAGCTGTTGATTGCCAAACGAAATTTTCAGGTTTTTTACAGCCGGAACTTCCCATCGAGACTAACTATTAGAGCCGGATACATCCAAGTACGAGTTTTAATTCGATACTTGCTATACTATTCACACTTCGTCTCTTCTTATTCTTTACATATACACATGCATAATCTCATCATAAAGAAGTGAGCTGTTAATATTAACTTATAGAAGCACTAGTAAATTGTAACATAATAGTCCTTGCTTCTATCTATATTCCATCAGCATTCCCTACATAGAGTTAAATCAATCCCAGTCCTAAAATAACCGATTATGAAAGATTCCTTCCGAACTAATCAGGTCAATAACGCTCGGCGTTTTAATCGTCAACTCATCGGTTTATCCGTTTACTATCCCGGTGTTCCTTTCATGGGCATAATTTCGCGTACAAGCGGCACCGGAGCGTGAACAGCGCGTGTGTCTCTTTGACGAAACACGGGGTGGATCCGGTCCCTTTGGAAAGGGCCCGTTCGCACGGCCGCGTTTCCATTCGATGAACGGCAAAGTAGGCATTTCTGGATGTCGGATGGACCGGCGTATTTCCGAAATAATCGCCGAAACCGACGTGTGTCCCTTTGCTCGATAAACGCCACGACGCCGGGGATTTTTCGCCTGCTTAGGTCCGATGGAACTTTGTGTGCGGTTTCGGGAAAAATATAACGATATTTTTGTTACAGTGATACGAGCAAATCCGTTCGACAAACACCACGAGGAAGGAATATTTATAAACTAAGCATATTCACTCTTCTTTATTTTCTATAAACTTTTAATTCAACGGAAAATCAATCGAATAATAAATACTTTACTAATTACTCAGTGACCCATTAATTCAAGTCCATCGCTGCGAACTGGCAACAAATAATTACATCGCAAATTACCTCTACTGGTAGGCTGAACGTCGAAATAATCGATGCGAACTCTAAATATTCCATCGGAAATATAATTACTCAGTCATATGCGCTTTTATTTACCTATCCATAATTAACTGTTGTTGTTGCTGTTGTTGTTGAAAATGCACCGGCCACCGGCCGGCTATAGGTTGCATTAAAATACACGTCAGTTGGCAGGAGGGATATCGACAAAATGTGCCAGTTAATTTCAATTGAAATTAAGCTTGTTTCCAGACAGGTATTCGATAACGCGGGGCTTTTGTAGCTGCACCAGTGCAGCGAGGTCAATCGTATCTGACTGTGACAGGCCTTCGTCGGACGAGCTCTGATCTCTCTGTATGTACTCTACACTTAATCACCTAACTACAGAGTGATTTTTGCGATAGAGAATTTTTTCGATAAAAATAAGCGATGCGATTGCATTTAACCCATAAGAAGTATCAGTTTGCGGTTATACACAATTTTTTTTCGTGCAATAAATCATCGGCGCATCCGTGCATCCCTCGACTGCTACTTCAACGCTTCGTTAGCAGGCGAATAAACACTCACACTCGGCGTGAAACAATGCGAATTTGCCACATGAAAACCTCACTAACGAAGCGCTGTGGAATAATGCGGAGAAAGCGAGAGGAGACCGCCATTATTTTTTAATACGTACCTCTTTTCCATCGATCGTACGGTGAATTTTAAATTAACACGTCCCTTTGATTGCTCGAACATGTCTTAATTAGTGCGCTTAGCAGGAGAAATCGATAAATCCGATTTACTTCCGATAGGTTGCTTGGTTATTGGACCGCGATTGAATCGCGGAAAGAATCCTATGCGGATGGGAAACACACGTGTTTTTTTTATTTCCTTGCCGGTTTTTCCGGCGGAAAAAGATAATGCGATAAACAGATTTGGGAGAACAAGAAATTTCGTCGTTGTAAGTTAACGAGATGTTTTTTTAAAAAAATGACATCGACAAATGGAGGAAAACAATGCTTGTTTACCGTGGAAAATTCTACTAATTAACTAGTTATAAATGGAATAAATTATCTACACAAAAAATCTTATTTCTCTAAACTAAACTAACCCCAAGTCCTCGAAGGAAAATTTGTCAGGCTCTCACTTTACATTGGAAATTATAGATCTTTATTAGGACGTGGAATGCCGGCTGAAGTTTCGCGCGGATTTTGTAGCGACGCCACGGTAAAATCGAACTATGCAGCTACTAAAACTTCCATTAAGTTTGATCAATAAGCCCTGCTACGCGAAATCAAAGTCGGCGAAATCTATCAGGGCTGGTGCTGGGTCGCGAATAGAACACAGCACACCTGTGTATACCAAGCGAAAGTTCGCCGATGGTAACGCCTAACGAGCAAAATGGAAGTAATGGAAGATGGAAATTTAATAGACAAAGTCAATATTCTCATACAAAGGGACATGGAATATTACAATGTAAGTTTGCTACAAAGAGGAATTTTTATTAGTGAGGCATCTTTATTAGAAACTTGATAATTGAAAAATACATTTAGAGCAAGCAAGCCATTTTACAAGAAACAATCTGCCCGGGCGTGATCGGAGGTAAATTAGACTTCCCTCGCTCGGCTTCCTTCGCATCCATGAAATTGGTGATGTGGCTGGAAGAAGAATTCTTGGCTGCACATAAATCATCCTCCGGCTTCCTTCCGAAGGACGATGAAAAATCTAACAAACAATCCGATGACAACGATGAAGGCATCATCAAAGACTCCTATCCATCCAAATTCGTGTCTCTAACAGCAAAAACAGCCGACCAATTCCTAGGTAAATCAATTTCCGGCCATCTTACACCCAAACTAACTCCATCTGATTCAGTCCATCTCAATGTGCTCACCCAGGAAGCGCTAGATCACGCCGATTTGAGCGTGCTCACCGGCACCATCGGCGCCGCAGCTCTCCTGAAAAACTCCCTCTGGTTCTACGTGAAAATAATGAAGGAAAACCGCGACGTCAACTTGGACGATTTGCAGAACAGCTACAAAAAGTACCAAGAAATGTGCGAAGCACTAGCCGAACGGCTGCTGGACCTTCATTGCCGGTTGGTCTCCCTCTACATCCTGCAGGACGCCGAGTGTTTGCACTGGGAGAGCGACCGGCCCTTCTTCGAGTCCGAAAGGGGCTCTTACGTCATCCAAATGTGGTGGTTGTACATGAAAGGTATTTTATGCAGGTCGATTTTTAATTGTATCGTATTCAACAATCATTAGTATGCAGGTACTAAAGAGGACCTTTGGAATACGGTACCGCCGAAGATGGCTCAAAGAGTATTCGCTGGAATGCTAAACGAATCGTTAACTATTCTAACAGTTCGTTACACGCAGGTAAATTAATTTAGTAAGCCATTTGTGTAGGTATAAAACAATTTTGAATATCCTCATTTTTAGAGCGTACCATCGGAGACCAGGAGCCGATTAATTGTCGTTGACATCAGTAATCTGCTAGTTTGCGTAGCCGAACTACTGCCGGCCATTTGCGACAACGCCAAGGAATTAATCGGCTTCTCGTACAGCAACAGCAGCAAAATATTGAGGGACATTCACACCAAATGCCAGGAATTGTTGACCTGCTTGCTATTAAGAGGATCTCCAATCGACGTCCTTTATAAAGTAGGCTCCAATTAAAAGATTAAAAAGATTTAATGCTCAATATTAACATTTCGTTGTGTGCTCCAGATTGATTCCACTTAACATTTATCGCTTTAATCGTTGGAATCATCCGGAACGCGCGACTAAATATCGCTTCTAATCGAATTACAACTTCGCTGCTGAATTATTCATTTCAAGGTGTTCAGGAAAGGTCTAGACAACGTGGAAATGTTCAAATCCAGAGCGTCGGGAGTGGCCCCTTGGATCGTGTTCGCGTTGCCCAACGTGTTTTGCGCCGACTCCAAGCGAATCGTCAAAACGAGCGAATTGAATCCGCAGATAATGGTCGCTTTGGAGTTGATCGTGTTGCTGGCCCAACCGCAACCTAATTGGGCGCTATTACTGCAGGTGATAGGTTTACCGGAATCGGGACGTCCGTTAAAAAGCTCTGTTCCTTCGGTTATTTGAAAAATCCATTATCTAAAGAGTGGATTTTCAGGTTTTATGCATGGATAAATTCAAGGTGCTTCGGTTAATCTTGGAGAGCTCTCCGAAGAACGTCGATGTTAGAATGCAGAAACCGCAGATGAAGAATAAGAAGTGTGATGCTTTTTTGTGCTACGGGGACGGTACTTGTCAAAGCGACAACGCTTCAGCGACAGTACTTGAAGTAGCTCATTACTACGAATTAATATTGGCATCTACTGAAGTATTGCTATACGTTGGAAGGAGCAGCGATTTGGTCGAAATTTTACAGCCCGTTGTAACAGAAAAGGCGGATTGGGCACATTGTTTGGAAAGGCGACATGTTAGTATAAGCTATAGAATAACTTTTTTCTCCTATGAGCTCCAAAGATGACTTTAAATGTTGCTAGAATTGTGGTCCACTTATACACTCCTCCAGTTCTTGCACCTTTTATTCTCTAACAAATCATTCTCTCTAGGTTTGGAACCAAATACGCGAGCCATGGTACGAAGCCATACTGAACTTCACAGCCCCCATAATTCCAATAGCCGCTGATACGGTAATTAACGCCAGTCAAACTGGAGCAAGTATGTACCAAGCCATGTCGCTGGTGGTAGCGTGTTTCAGCCATTTTTGGGACTATATTCATCCGGCTCTTTACAAAACCTCCAACATGCTGCAGGAAATCCTGCCCACTGACACCGTTCCCCTCGGCAATTCCGCGCTACTGCAGATCCTCGTCTGCGCCCTCTACAGCCACTTGCTGAGGACATCGCAAGCTGTCAAGAAGCGGTTTAGAATAGACGAATCTGCTGGAGGTAACGCCAAACTTACACTGTTTGCAGAGAAATTTACCTAGTTCTTTAGGAAGGCAAAGCCAATCGTCTGGTAGTACTGAAGAATCCTGCGCGAGTTCACCAGAAGCTATAGCTTTAGCGGTGGCCGAGTCGTTGTGCAGCATCGACGAGGATAACAAGCATACGGATCAAATCGAGGAATTCTTGGAGCAAGTTAAAGAGAATTACAAGGAAGCTGATGGTGAACAATGCTTGTCCAAGCGGCTGGAGGCCAACCAGCATTTCGCTGAGGTTGCGGTTAGCGATATTTTAGAGACGAACAGTGGAAAGAAAAATTTGAAGGTTTTTGCAATTTATAATAAAGTGGTGCAAGACAATTGTTAAATATATTTTTTATAGGTTCTATATTGGTTCATAAAGTGTAACGCGGAATATTTCTATCAACAACTAGGCATAAGCACCGAAGAGGACGTTATAAAGCCTGATAGAGCGGCTATAAAACCTTTGTCTTTGCTTCACACTATGTTTAATATTGGTTATCGACCTTTTGATGAGGTAAGTAATAAATCGCCCGATAAACTTAATTTCTAATTATTTTTTTGTAGCTGTTATCGGGTAAATGGCGACCTAATTGGTTGGAGTTGCTCCAAAACCCCATGGGTTTGAATGCGGAGAGAGTGTGGAAGCAACTTTCGTTAAGATGGGAATTTAGAAATGTCAATTCCTCGACTCTATCGACTCAGTCTGCAAACATGATTGCCAGGATTATGAATGTACTGAAGCAGTGAACATAAAATTGAAATCTTTAGAACCTTAGAAATTTTTCTATTGAAAGAATAATCACAGAAAAATAGTAATTAGCTACATACAAACTCGTTTAACACTACATATAATAGTGAAATTTTCTCAGTCGTTCTTTCTCTTGTTCTTCCTTTTGTCTTTTCGCGTACAACACAACCTTTTGCAGATCAAATAAAGGAAAGTTATAGGTAACAATACAAAGATAACTATAACATCTACTAGAAAATATTTGTACCAAGGTAAATCCAACCCAGCAACTCTTAAATGAGGAGCTCCTCTATGTCTAGCTACATATTCAGTCCAATAAACCATTGTGTCTATAGGTTTCATTGGTCTGTCGTGGAAAAGGACGGATCTCCTTTTAGCATTATTCATGTATCTAAAAAAAGGGTGTAGTAAATTGTAATTTGTACCGATATTATTGAAGTAGCTTACTTTGGATCGTTTAGTAATTTATCTAAGGCGTCTCTGAATGATTTCTCAGTCAATTCGAAAAAATCTATTTTCAATCCGTAACCGAGAACTTCAGCTTTCGCTGCATTCATCCTTTGGTCTCCGAAAACTGGCAAAGCCAATATTGGAACGCCGTGATAAATTGTTTCGAGAGTACTCAACAATCCTCCATGTGTAATGAACAATTTTACATTCGGATGAGCTAAAAATTTAATGTTAATGCAACTATGAATTATTTTTGGATTATTAATTGGGCTACCTAAAATATCAGCTTGTGGAAACCATTTTCCAATTCTCACATTTTCCGGTTTGTCTGGAAGCGTGTCCCCATCGTATTTCCACAAAACTTTTAGTTTAATATCTCTCAGTGCTCGAATTATAGCTTTCCTGGTCTCGGGATTCAGTGTTGAAAATTGTATAGCGGAACCCATACTGAAATAAATAACTCCTTCTTTCGCGTTATCCAAGAAAGCCTTCAGATCTACCGGTAGTTCCTTAGGAGGGCTGACGTGATAACCCCCGATGTTTATCATATTGGGTACCGAAGGAACCGGTTCGTTGGTGCTCTCGTGGGAATTTAAGAAGTAGAGGGATACGTTGTTTATGATTAGCTCGTTATTCGCGCATTTCGGGAAGTGCTTTTGGGCTATCTCCTTCTGTCCAGGGTAGAATATGAAATGGCTGTTGAGGTAATAAACGAATACGGATAGCGAATTGAACATTCTCTCCCACAAATTCATGGTGTTGGAGTAACTGAGAGACATGTCGGCGACGTAAGAAGGCGGTATTGGACTACCGGTATCCGCAACAATCCACGTGTGCACTCCGATTGAACTGACCAGGATAACGGGAGCGTCGAAATGACAACCCAGTACTTTCAAAGCGTCGGTTCTGAATTGCTCGATGATAAGGACATCGAATCGTTCGTTTAGTATTTTTTGGAAATTTTTATCGGTGATTATTTTATCGCTCATCATTTTTCCCAATCCGTTGAAAGCGAACAGCATCATGAACCAAGGATGCTTGTCGCCCATCTCAGCGGGATTAAATTTCTGTCCTCCTGGAAGGAATTTCTATTGTCAGATATGAGTGTTTCTTTAAGCTTTACACTTTCACTAGGCATATAAAAAATTGGTTACCTGCAAATGGTTCTCCTAAGTCATCTAAAACTACACTTCTGTAGTTTTTGGGAGCACTTTTGTCTTCGAATGCTGCAACTACAGTTACATCATGTCCAGCGTTCGCGAGGCCTCGTCCAATGGCGTTTCCAAGGAAATAATGGCTTTTCGAAGGCAACGGAAACACGACGAGTATTTTGTAGCATTGCGAAAAACTCAGTAGAGTTAAGAGTATCAAAAACTTCATTTTACCGCACTTTTATTACTTATTGTGAGCATCTGGAACGAAAATTTTTATATAACCTGTAATTAACCAAATATCAAAGAAATTTTATCTACGAGTTGATTTAATCAAAAGTTACATATTTGCGATGATTATAATATAACACTTCAATACTATCGCCTATATCTTATCAGTGCCAGTACTTATTAGGTGCACCACAGGTAAATTATGTTATATATAATATAATAAATATGTTATATCCAATGGAAACACAACTAGAATTTTATTATATTGCCAACATTCACTAAAGTTAAGAGTATAAAAAATTCATTTTAAACAATATTATTATTACCTACTACCACAAACGATTGTCATCACCACACTGTTTCTGGAATAATTAAATTTTACCAATACGTCTGATCAATTCTTATCTAACAAGAAGCAGTCCAAGAGTAAATATTTACAACGTACGAGTAAGATAAAGGGTAACAACTCGAAACAAATATACAATAAAAAAATATTCCATTAAAAAATATACAATAAAAAATATTCCACGAATCCAATAACTTAAGCTGATTTGTATTTCTTATTTTTAACGAATAATCTCAACAGCGTTCTGAGTGCATAATAAATAGAGGCAAATACGACCAGAAGAATTATAATAACTAAACCAGCGACATCGACTAGAAAATATTGATACCAGGTTAGGTCGAGCGCTCCGACTCGCAAATGTGGCGCCCCTTTATGTTTAATAACGTATTCTATCCAATAAATCGCCAAATCCATAGGTTTTACAGGCCGATCACGCATCAATTCCGAACGTTCCTTCACATTTTCCATGTATCTACAAACAAAATAATCTAATTCTCATTCCAATAGATAAAAAAGAAGTAGAAGAAAAGTCTGGTAAACGTAGAGCCTATTGTATACAATTTTTCATCCATGCCAAATATTTGTTACACAATAAATCAATCAATAGTTATTATTCAAGAAAAAAAGTTTACCTGGGATCGTTCAGTAATTTATCTAAAGCTTCATTGAGACTTTTCTCATTCAGGTCATTGAGTAATATGCTCAAACCGTAACCGTCGTTCTCTATTTTTGCTGCATTCATCAGTTGGTCACCATAAGCTGGTAAGCACAGTACAGGAACACCATGGTACACCGTTTCGAAAATGCTCAATAATCCTCCATGGGTTATGAACAACTTCAAGTTCGGATGAGCTGCAGGATTCAATATTATACCGAGATGTTACGAATTAATGCGAAGAAATTTACCTAAAATATCCTGTTGTGGAAAGAACTGCCTCACGAGCACGTTATCGGGCGCGCTTTCTTCGAAATTCGAACCGCCTTTCACCAAAACTTTTTGCTTCAATTTGGAAAACGCGGCCATAAGCGCGTTTTTAGTTTCTGGATTAACGAACGAGGAATCTATGTTGGTACCCAAACTGAAATAAACCACGCCATCTTTAGCCTCGTCCATGAACTTCTGCAGATCGTCGGGCAGCTTCTTCGCAGGCTTGATGTGGTACCCGCCGATTTGCACCAAACTAGGCACCGAAGGTGTCGGATAATTCACGCTTTCGTGGGAATTAACTAGAGTCAACGATACGTTGTAAAAGTGCTCGTTAAAGCGATCGTGACACTCCGGAAAGTACTTTTGCACCAGCTTTCCTTGAACCGGAAGGGAGTTGAAATTCTTGTTGATGGTCCTGATTAGCGCTTTAATCGAGTTGATCGTTCGTTGCCACAAGTTCATGGGAACTATCGAGCTCGACATGACGTCCGGTATGTAAGATGGCGGAAAAGGACTTCCGGCTTGATCGCTAGACCACAAGGAGTGCCCGAAGGTGACAAAGGAGATTAGGGGAGCGTCGAAATGGCAGGACAGGACTTTCAAAGCGTCGTTGAGGAACATTTCCAGAATGATGACGTCGAATTTTCGGCGGGAGTTGAGCAATTTCTGGAAGTTCGGATGGGCCAGAGTGGCGTTGGTTAGAATGTGGGAGATTTTAACCGATTCTAACTCGACCTCGATGACTGATTTCTTTCCCATTTCCGCCCAGGATGATAAATTCGAGTCTGAAATAGCATGATGTTTGTTGGGGAACGAGCGCATTATTAATCACTCACTCATTAAAACGTATCCGATCCCGTCTAGTAGAACCGTCTCGTATTTTCCACTAGTATCATCAAACGCACTGACCATTGTAACTTGATGCCCGGCGTCAGCTAAGCCCTTTGCCAGGGTGCTTCCCAGGAAAAAATGGCTCGGCGCAGGAGTCGGGAATACCAATAATATATTAGCCGAATTAGCCATGCAAACGATATTTAGCAATAACAACACTGCTATATTGCGATTCATTTTAAATAAAACCTTTAGGTTACCTTCAAGATGATTCTGAAAAATAAATTGCTCGTCTTGAAATAATGTAGTAGTAGAAAAATTATTGTATGTGCTTCAATTGAAGTTACCTATGAAAATGTCTAGAACAATTTCATCGTGTAATAAAGTGTAATAGTGAACTAATTAGTTACAACAATACTTAATTTAAGCGAACAATTTGTCATCCTTATTTATAGAAATAATTTGAATTTTTTAATACTCGAAAATTGTAAATTCCCAACGTCAAAAATGTTTTTATCTATCTTATTAATTCAATATACGTACCAGTACATGCAATATTTCCGATCAACCTTCACAAAACCAACTTTATTACGCGTTTCAGTCGACTGTAGGTGAGTAGGTAATCAAAACAATTCCTTAAAACACGTATATGTCTGTAATTTTACCAATTTCGTAAACCTGTTCCTAAAATAAAACCACAACAGTTAAGATACAAGTTACGGTGAGATACGTACGTAATACCGAAAAATTCGAAAATGGGTCTAACCAAAAACGCGCAGAGATAATATTCTTGAATTATAAGGATATGTTTATTTATAAGTTCCGACTTTATGCTTGATAAGTGTAGAAAACAAACTTTAATGGATATGCTAATAAAACTAAGTAGTTATCATTTTAATTACACTGTACCAATAAGTGTTTCACCAATTTAATAAGTGTTGAAACATGAACTCACAAGTGGATTAATAAGTATTAATTAAAACAGATTTATATTGCACTACTTTACTTACTTCTAGATATTTATAATAATATTGGCTAGTATTAACGCTAATAACGAATAAACAGCAAACTCATATGAACCTACCTTTTAATAAATATAATTGCAATCAGTTTTGCTATCTCCCTTTATTTTTCTCATCACAATATTTGTTAGGGAACAATAATTAAATAATCATTAGCCATGGAAACAAGATAAGGAAAAATCGGAACTTTAAACTCAATTATTTTTTATATACCACAGTTATTTTTACCACCAGGTACTCGAAGTATCTAATTGCATTTATTATTGTTGTCTCAATTGTAAATGACATGGTTAAATATTACAAAATCAATACTCTCAATGAATGAGCTAATTCAAAGATTACGAAAGTATAAAGTTCAATGCTTCATAATTGCATGTAGGTTAGGTACATAATATTAACTCTTAAGGAAGCTATTCTTGAATACTAAAGTAAACGTAGAAAGTGGTGTATAACAAAAACAACGAATTAATAAAAAATTAATTTAATACTCTAATTTGTAATAGTCCAAAAATCAATCGCTCTTATTCTTCTTCTGTCCCCGTTTGCTTGCTTTTGAACACAACTTTTTAACTAATAAGTAGAGGAGTAATACTGGCAATAACACAAATACAACAATAACATCCACCAAGAAATATTTGTACCACGGTAAATTGAATCCAGCGACTTTCAAATGAGGAGCCCCTCTGTGTCTCGCTATGTATTCCGTCCAATAAACTAAAGAATCGACGGGCTTCATTGGTCTGTCGTGGAAAAGAACAGATCTCTTCTTTGCTGTATTGAAATATCTGCAAAAAAATTATCAAGTAATATTAAACTTGGTTTAATTGGTTGCATAACTCACTTTGGATCGCTTAGCATTTTTTCGATGGCATCGCTGAAATTCTCTTCGTTCAATTCGAAAAAGTCTATAGCCAATCCATAGCCAAAAATTTCCGTTCTTGCTGCATTCAATCTTTGATCGCCGAAAACTGGCAGAGTCAATACCGGAACACCGTGATAAATTGTTTCGAGAGTACTCAATAATCCTCCATGTGTAATGAACAATTTCACATTCGGATGAGCTAAAAATTAAATATTAATACACATATGAATTATTTTTGATCTATTAATTGGGCTACCTAAAATATCGGCTTGTGGAAACCATTTTGCGATTTTCACGTTGCCGGGTTTCCCCGGAAGCTCATCTCCGTCATACTTCCACAAAACCTTTTGTTTGATTTTCTTAAACGCCCTGACAATGGCTTGAGTAACCTCCGGACCAAGTTCGCTGAATTTGATGTTGGATCCCATACTGAAATAAACAACTCCTTCTTTCGCATTATCCAAAAAAGTCTTCAGATCTGCCGGTAGTTCTTTAGGAGGGCTGATGTGGTAACCCCCGATGTTTACCATATTGGGCGCCGCAGGTACCGGTTCGTTGGTACTTTCGTGCGAATTTATGAAGTAAAGAGACACGTTGCTGATAATTAGCTCGTTATTCGCGCATTTCGGGAAGTATTTCTGGGCGACTGCCTTTTGCGCTGGGTAAAACAAGAGATAGCTGTTGAGGTAATACACCAATTGGGTCAGCAAATTGAACCCCCTTTCCAGCAAATTCATATCGCTGGTGTAACTGAGAGACATGTCCGGTACATAAGAAGGCGGAATGGGGCTACCTGTATCCGCGACCACCCAGGTATGAACCCCCACCGAGCTCACCATGATCAAAGGCGCGTTGAAATGGCAACCCAGGGCTTTCATGGCGTCGTTTCTGAACTGCTCGACGATGACGACGTCGAATTGTTCTTTTAACACCTTCTGGAAGTTCGGATGACCCAGCACTTTCTCGATCATGTGGTTTCCCATGAAATTCAAAACGAATAGCATGGTAAACCAAGGATGGACTTTGCCATTTTCGACGGGATTAAATTTTTCTTTCGCCTCTAAAATACGAATTTGGAGAATAGAACGTTTGTATACAGAACGCTAATATTGAAGTGGGTTTTATAATAAACAAAAATTACCTTACCTCCCTTCCACAATGCATCTTCCACTCCCGTTAAAACGACGTTTTTGTAATTTTTCGGCGCGTTTTTGTCTTCGTAAGGTGCTATTACAGTCACATCGTGTCCGGCATTAGCCAGACCTCGTCCTACGCCATTGCCGAGGATGTAATGGCTTCTGGACGGCAAAGGAAACACCACGAGAATTCGGTAACCTCGAGCGACACCCACGAGACCGAGTAATAGAAGAACAAAATTCATTTTTCGGCGAACGTTTATCGCTCGAATGCTAAATACCGAGTGTCAAGAACAACATCAAGAGCGCGTTCTATAAAAAGATTTCTCGGAATGGACGGATGCGTAATTATAAAATGCGGCTTCGGCTTCTCTTCTACACGAACAGAAAAATAGCAGGTCTCCTCGATTGGGAGTAAATGATGATACGGGATAGAGTACAATGACGAATTTAATTTAAATTTAATCGTCTGTTACGCAAGATATCACTCGCGTTCAGCACGAATATGACTGGTGGATTTTAAAGATAATTTGTGGGTGGTGATAGAGTAAAAACATATATCAGTCAATTTAATTTATTGGATTCCAATTGTTTGTGATGAACTTGACCTGATTGCTATTGAAACGGTATATGTTTACTAACGAATCGTGCGGTTATTATTTAAGACTTATCAACTGTAATAGAATATTTAGTAATTTATTTTATTTATGTGAAGATATGCAAGCGATTAAAGCATTCATGCGTTTTATGAGATGATAATATCTGGTGATGCGAGATATAATTTTTGTGGAGTGTTTGCAAATAATTATATTATTTTGATAATTTCGTGATAAAAAAAATTACCTGATTTTGGCGAGGATCGAATTTCAAGGTAATGTTTTTGGTGTGTCGCGATATTGAGTGCTAAATTAAAGGTACATGATACATTAAATTATTTTTAATTACTTTAAAGTAGATTAAAAGTGAATCAATATTCATGCACAGTTTCTTTTGTTAACTTTTATGCAAAAAGACAGTGTAGTCGTGTTTGCAAATAAAAATACAGAGTGTTATAACACTCTAAATAGAATTATTTTTAAAAAAATCCTCATTTATTTTGGAGCAAATTCGGCCCGAAGACTTATTTTCGTAAGATGCACCATTTTCGCATAAAAAATAAAAACTAAAACATTTTTTCCCAAGGTCATTGAGACTAGCTTTTCATATTTTGTTGAGATGTGGTATAGGCGCCCACCATGCATGAAAACACTTTTTTTGGGACAAAAACTAATTTCCTACTATATTACCAGTGACGTCCACGTCCGAAATTTCATAAAAAATATCTGGATTAATAAGAAAATTATGATATAGGTATTTTTTTCTAAAACTAACACCCTGTAGCTCGAAAACTAAGAAGTTTAGGACATGTATTGATATAAACTTTTCTTCTTATAATCATCCAAATATTCTCATCATGTAGTATTGGCACTCAATTAATAAACACCCTGCACATATACATTAAATTATTTTAACTTACTTTAAAGTAGATTAAAGTGAGTCAACATTCAAGCAAAGTTTCTTTCGATAAAATGCACCGCTGAAATTGAAACCATTGACCCGAAAATTTTATGCAAAAAGACAGAAATTGTAGTCGTTATTGCAAATGAAAATATACTGCTGAGGAAAGAAACGAAACCAAATTATTGTTTTCCAACAAGTACAATGTAGCATTGTTCTAATTTGATAAAACAATTTATTTTACTCATTGTATAGCATGGTGAGAATAATAAAACTTTAATAATGCAACTTAAACTAGTTTGTTTATAAAAATCTTATACAAAAATTACTCTTATTAAAAATACGCAAACTTAATAGAATCAATAGGATGCTTAGCGGTTACAGCAACCACAAGTATAAGTAACCCTATACACCAAACAACAAAAGAGTAAATTATAATTTCGCCGGTTGTCCCGCCACCAACACATCCCGCATATCCCTCAAACTGTCTTCCAAAGCTTCTCGGAACCTCTTAGCGCTGGTATCCGGATGATCCGCGAACGCCGATACCCCGAAATTGATATCGCAAGGCCTCGGATTGTAACAGCAACCGTAACCATCGGGCGTGAGCGGGGCGTAGCACATAAAACCGTCGCATTTAGTGGCTACTTGGCTCGTCGAAATTCGCATACGGCCGCTCAATTTGTAAGCTTTATCTTCAAAAAGCTCCGGCAATTGCACGTTGTTTTCCAAAGCGATTAATTTCAAACCTAAGAGGTGGCGGTCCACGCCGAAACCATTTACAGCCTGTAGTAGAAAGGTGTACTGTTAATAACAGGTGTCTAATAGGGGGTAGTTTAAGTTAGTTTGTTGTATTTGTTATAGTTATACTCCGTTCGCCAACAGGAGATAGTAATAGAACTTAATTTTGTATGCTAAAGTCAACACGAGTGGCTCAAAGAAGAAATTTTTAAGGCTTCTTTCATTGTGTAATAGTAACGATTATATTACTTTAGTAGTGCCACTCTGTATACCGGGTATATAAAAATCAGCGACCCTTTTTTAATCCTAGATAAAGTAACATGAACGTAGTATACAGTAGTGCTTCCTAAGTATTAAAATGATTTAATTTACTGCCTCAAGAAGGTCTTATTACTACCTCCTGATGGCGAAAGGAGTATAATTTTATGCTATTATACCTCTATGGAATATTTTTTGTGCGATTGAATGGCCTCACGGAGAGCTGTGATTTTGTCATGAACGGATTTATTGGAATCTAACATTGTTTTGGAGAATGCGATCGATTCGATTGAGCAAGATCGTATTGTTTCGGTTCTGCCGTGAATGTATTTTCTAGTAGCAGCTGATTCGTAATGAGCTCCGGGCGTTTTGTGTATCCTACGAACGATTATTTATTTATTATAATTCACGAAAATGGGAATTTGCACCTGTAAAAAGCGTATTGCATGGCGATTTGTATGAAACTGTCCGGACTGAGCTTCTGTGATTTCACGAATTCCTTACCGAAGGAAGTGAACTGAAATGAATCCATGTCTAAGTTGCTTGCTAATCTAAAAATATTAATCCATTAGTAATGTATTAAGCAATTTGTTTGATAAATTCTGTACTTATCAATGTTTGCGTTCGCGGTTTGTATGTATCTTTGAATAGCGTCATTAATGTTGAAATGCAATTTCTTAGGCGCCGTTTTTAATGTAGCCTGTAGATTACTTGCATTAGCGTTCCTGCTGTAAATTAAAACCAATTAAATAAATCAATTTTGTTTATCTACAAACACTTACATGTGATCTATCAAAAAATCAGTCATTGCAGCTATCGGTTGGCCTTCGCTAGGCGAATGTTCGTAAGTTAAACCGACTGTACCATCTTCCCCGATAATAAACTTGAAACAAATAAGGTTGTATTAAAGCTCTGCTAGATTTCTCCACTACTCATGGCTTAGTTAATATTTTTTGTAGCAACCTGTACAGTTTTGTCGAACCATCGGTTGGCGGAATTCCCTTTACTGCCGCCACCGTGAATGAACTGCTTACTGGCCATTGATCTGCGACTGTCATTTTCAACGGGCATCGGTTTATCCAAGGCTACTAAGAATAATGAGTTTTGTATTTCTCGAACAGAAGCTTCGTTTGTTGGATCTGAGGAATATATTGTTAATTGCATTAAAAGCTTTGATGTAGTTAATGTGAAATTAGTACCTTTAATAAGTTCTTCGTAAGCTCTACTCCAATTGTCCCTATTGTCTGCGGTTAAGACTCCGATTGGGGAACTTGAGTCTACCGAATCCTCGGCGATAACAGTTAGTTGATTGATTAATTCGTGTAAGCTAGGGGTGTCTCCGGTTTCATTCAAAACGTCCAATCTGTAATACTAAATAATACAATCTTACAAAAGCTGTTTGAAGATTTGTTATTGCTGCTTACATTATTGTTTTTGACGATGATGATGTGCTTAGAGTTAGGATTAAATTCCAAAGTATCTCGATGGGGTTTTGGGATTCGACAGGTTCCAAAAATCTTTTTATATTGATTCATATCCAAGGGATCTTTGCCCATTTTGTCTACAGGAAGCTTATCGCTGAAAGGATAAATGTAGGGTACTTGTTATAAGAAAATTAACAATTATAAATGTACTTACTTCCATATGTTTAAATAATATTGCACAGCAGCTAATATGAGTTTAGCAGTGTATTTTAGTCTATCGATTTCGTATTTGAATTCCTCAAAGGGGAAAACTAACCCAGGGCTGCTGAAAATGACGACAGGATCACGGTATTCCAAGTAAGATGTGTTTAACCACCATTCCTCGAGCCAGTTTTCGCGATTTTGGGCCCTTTCTACAAGGAGTTTCTGCAATTTCTCGCCCAAACCTCCAGCACTGCTAAATTCATTTAACAGTCTACTGGTATTTTTTAACTCGGATTCCGTCAAAAAAGGAGTAACGGTTTTAATGTATTTATCAATAGTTTGAGTCAAAGTAGGCACTGGAAGTGACGGTAATTTCAAAGAGTTTTCGAAGATCTTGTTTACTCCCGAAGTGGACATTGCAGATCTTCGTTTGTACAAAAAAGAAAGTAGTTGGGAGTTTTTCGAATTAAGGATCTAAAAATAATACTCAGGTTTTTGCCATTTAAATGTATTTGAACTTACCAAATGTTGTTTCGATAAAATCATACTAAACTTTATCCCTACCAGAAAATAATTGAACGGAACTTATATTAAAGGTAAACTACTTTTACTGAAGCATTGCTTTTGTTAAAGTAAGCGTTAAATTATTCGTTACAATCGTTACTTTCAAATTAATATTCAAATTACTGATAAGAAAAATAAATAAAAACCAAAACAAAACTTTCTAACCACAAAACAAATTTACTTGACTTGACCCTTGACAGTTGATAATAAATATAGAAAAAAAGAAGACAAGTTTTATAATGACAACTGACATTGACATAATTTCAAGAAGCGGGAAATCAAATCTAGTGTTTTGGTTAAGTTTTTTGGTTAGTTTAAAATATTCATGCATTTAATACTTATTTAGTAAAACTAACGGAAAGAAAAGAACTAACCGTAGAAAAGAGAAAAATGTCAGGTACGCCCACTCGTCGCACAACTCGCCAGAAGAAACCCAGCCTGAAAGCCTTAGAATCCCTGCGGTCGCTGAAAATCCAAAATTCCGGTCTCGTTCAAACATTAGCTAGCGACGATGAAACTGACGAGGATTTATTCGAAGGATACACCCAGGAGGACACCCAGAAACCCAAAATACTCAACGAAAACGAGCTGGTGCACGGCGACGACATATTTACATTTCCAAAAAGAAAAACGAAAGGAGACGTCGTGCAGAAAGTCGCCGAAGCTTGTGAGCTCAAAACCCCGCGTGTCGTGAGAAAGAAAGCTAGGAAAGCCGTGGAGAAGCTTCTAGAGGATGATAGTGAGAGCGATTTCGAAGTATCCGAGGAAAGCGAAAGTTCGAGTGAATCGGGAGAGAGCTCTGATACGGATACCGATAACGATAAAGCGCACAAATTGGTGTTTAAAGAATCCAAGTTACAAAGTACCCAAGGAAAAAGTAGAAACTACCACATTAAAACCGACGAGTACTTTGAAAAAACGAGTTCAAAGAAAATTACGACTTCGAATAACACTCTAGACAAGCTCGAAACTCCTCGTTTGCCACAATATCAACTACAAAATCTATTGAGCAAATCGAAACTAACGAGTGCTCACAAGGAAGCAGTCTTAAAACTAGATAAAATCAATGAAAGTTGCTTCAAAAGATGGTTGTACTTTTTAAACGAAAATTTTAATATAATCCTCTACGGTTTGGGATCGAAAAGACCAATTCTGAACAAATTTCAAAATACATACCTAAAGAACATGCCTGTGATAGTAGTAAATGGTTATTTCCCCAGCCTTACAATAAAAAACATTCTAGACTCCATTCTGAGCCTGCTGGAAATAGAAGAAAGTCCAGGAAATTCAGTAGAAGCATGTGAATCGATTATAGAAGAAATGCGAAGGATCCCAGACACTCATTTGTACATCATCATTCACAATATAGAAGGCGAAACGCTCAGAAACAGCAAATCGCAGAACATTCTTGCCAATCTAGCAGCAACAAATAATATACATTTAATAGTTTCTATAGATCACATCAACGCATCATTGATATGGGACCACAAGAAGCTCAGTAAATTCAATTACATATGGTGGGACGCCACATCGTTCGCCCCATACTTGGAAGAAACATCCTTCGAGCAGTCCATGATGGTTCAACAAAGCAGCGCCTTGGCTTTATCATCTTTAAGGAACGTCTTTGTATCTCTAACTTCCAATTCCAAGAGTATATACAATTTAATAGCGAAATACCAAATCGAACATGGAAAGAATCAGTATTTTCAAGGGCTGGCATTCAAAGATCTCTATTTGTCTTGCAGAGAGGGATTCATTGTGAGCTCTGATTTGGCTCTAAGGGCCCAATTAAAAGAATTCGTGGACCACAAAATGCTCAAAATTAAGAGATCTGTAGACGGTACTGAATATTTATTAATTCCGTTAGCCAGCCACTTATTGCAAAAGTTCATCGATGAGAATAATTGAGGTTTTTAATTGTAATTAATGCTATTTTTATTCAAGTATTTTTATAATAAACTATTTTAAACGTAATAATGAGGTTTCTTAATAGTTATACCAAATTCGGCCAATGCTGGAGTTAAATCTTCCATTGTTAGACAGTATTTTCGATCTTTTGTTCCTTGTTTATTCTGAAATAGAAAAATATGAGTACTGTATATTAAAATAAAAAGTAAAAATACTCGATAATATAAAAACTAAACATTCTACTTATATCGAGTAGGTTTTTAATTGCAAGTATTTGAATATTAATTAGAAATTGGAATACTTCAGCTTGTAACCTTACCTTAGAACTACTTTGACTTGATGAATTGGTAGACCTCATTTTACAGTGCTGGAGAGCATCATTAGCAATATCGGATATGAATTTTTGGGCTGCAATCGATATTAATCGTACCAATCGGGGATCCTTGGGTTCCAACCCGGAGCATCTTAAATAGTAACTGGTTACCGCATCAGGAATCTGAAACAAAACTATTGATAGACCTCTTAACAATCTTTGGGCGTCCGTACTTACTGTTGGAGTGTAATCTTCCAGTTGTAATAGAAAATCACTTAAGGGTTGACCCAGGGTTACGTTATTGTCTTCGATCATATTTTCTTCCTGATTCATTATTGATGTTTTATAAATATTTTACCTTACCGAAACAACAGGAGCAACAGGGAAGAATATAAATATTTATTATTTACTTATAAAGAAAAATATCACTGTCAGCTGTCATAAGTCGAAATATGTCAAATGTCGTAGCGTCTTCATTTCGTATTGAGTCTGCGATGTTTCTGTTATTTAGTTACCAAAAAAAAAAGAAGCGCCATTGTGTTCAATTTTCAATAGACCTATTCAGTTTAACCTGTGCTGCGCGCGCATATTGTGGACAATTAGCTGGATATCTAAACGAACAAACGAACGCACCTCAGGTAAAATACGGTTCTGACAACCAGACAACGACAACTTAAGACGTCATTTGTCATTATCCAACAATCCGTCGGATTTAATGGACGCGGTGACTCGATACAAATTTGTTTTTACTGCCCAGAAAGGGGTTATAGGCTTAATATTTACGTACAAGTCAAGTCTAAGAAAGAGTAAGAGGGTTAGTACAAAGTTTCCGAAAATGCTTTTTGATCGGTTTGCTATAATATATATTTCAAAAAAATAATCCCATTGACCTATACAAAAAATTATTACCTTTATAAATAAATATACTAAATAATACAAAGAAATACTGTTAAAAATAATACACACTGAACATAAACAAACATCAAACGGAAACAAAATAGGGTTAAGAATGTTAAGATTGATAATGGTCTCTTCTTTTTTATATTTTAAACAGTTTTCATCTAAGAATCATTCAATGTGTCTGTCAATCAGCAATGAAATAGGCCAAATATCTCATCTCTCTTGCACTTATGTTTGCGCAGATTTTAAATGGTTCCACAAATTGCGCGTGAAACATATTTGCTTCTTTTATTCTCTTATGTTGATCAAATAACTCCATCACTCTCTTTCGTAAACTGAATAGGTCTATTGACGTCAATAAAGGTTAAAAATATTGACACATTGTGAAAATTTAAACAATAATTATTTTTAATGAGCAAGGATGAATATTTTTTTTTGAACTTTACTGACACAATACCATTGTGTACATGAGCTCTCTACCCAGTGAAAATAATGAAGCTTCTAGTCATTTTATTACTTTTTAATATATCTTTTGTAATTTGTTACAAACCAGTGATTTTATTACATGGGATTCTAACAGGACCAGAAAGCATGATACTGTTCAAAAACAGAATCGAAGAAGTACGTATGAAACCTTTATTTTTTATAGTAAAAAAATATTTTTTAATTTGTTTAGAAACACCCAGGGACAATCGTTTACAATATCGATCAGTTCGGAGGATGGTCCAGCTTGGAAAACATGTGGTACCAAGTCCAACAGATATCTCAGACCATTTCAAACATTACCTCAAAACACCCCGAAGGAGTGCACTTCGTAGGTAAATTCTTCAAACAAATTTATCGAAACATTATAATTATGTACATAATATTCTGTAGGTTACTCTCAAGGCGCTCTTCTGGGTAGGACTATTTTACAAGCAAATCCAGACCACAAAATCCTCCGATACATATCTCTGAGCGGACCGCAGGCCGGCCAATACGGAAGTAATAACACTCAATACCTTTTAAAACACTTTGGCTTAATCAAACCCGAACTATTTCAGCTCAGTTTCTCCATATTTATTTCCCAGGTTTAGCACTAGAAACAGCTTTTGAATTGTTTTATTCCAGAGTCGGTCAGCACACTTCCGTGGGGAATTATTGGAACGATCCTTATCACACTCAATTGTACCTAAGCTATTCCCAGTATTTGCCTTACGTGAATAACGAGATCCTTTCGAATAAAAGCGATCAGTTCAAACAGGCTCTTACTAAACTCGACCTGTTGGTTCTCATAGGCGGACCGAATGATAATGTGATCACTCCGTGGCAATCAAGGTGATTATAAATTATCAAATTGCTTTATAAAATAATTGTTTCTAATGGTCTTTTATGTGTATTGTAGCCAATTCGGTTATTACGATCACAACGGGACAGTTGTGGAGTTGAAAGACAGAGAATTGTACCAAAATGATACGATAGGCCTGAAGACTTTGTACGAGAAAAAGAAACTGAAGCTGATTACAGTACCTGGTATTGATCATTTTATGTGGCATCTCAACTTATCTATATGTGATAATTATGTTTTACCTTATTTAGATTGATTTTATTTATTGAGTGAATACTAGTGAATCATATAAAATATTGTAAACTATATCAATATTGTATTTAAGTACAATGACACATTTTCCTATACAAGTAATGGAATGTTTTTACCGAGTCAGTTTTATTAAGCAATTAAATTGTTTACTGCAAAAGCAAACAAAAAAAATTGCTCATTAAATAAATTTCGTATCTAATTATGTACTAAGATATCAAGTGATTAGTATTATGTCGACATTAAAATCGTCTTTTGGCTAAAAAATATTTTTCGAATAAATGTTGATACAATCTAATTTATTCCAGATATTTTGATTAATCCAGCATTCTTCACCATATCCTGCCATATCCTTCACCAGTTCAACATTCCTAAGTCCCAAGATCCCAAGTCTATGATACAATGAAAGTAAGTAGAAAATTTTCGAATCCTAAATAATTCAAAACACTATCGCCCAATCCCGAAATAAAGTAGGAACAAAACGAAATCAACGAAAGCTCTGTTATCGAGGCAACATAATAAATGTTGAATCGTCCGTAACGTGTAAATCTAACTAAGGAGGGTGCGGAATAGCGGAATGGATTCCGACGACTGGAGAGCCCGAAATAAAGAGCCCCTTTCGGTCCCTCAACCCGACTAGACGCCGAGGGCCTATTCCGCCCTTCCCCAAGAGACACACCATCCAGTAATCGTCGGGAATTCAATTGATCTATCAATATGTATAACGTCTTAACTTTTACTGTCTCCGTTCAACTGCTCGGTTATTTATCGCCCTTTGGATTCGCCGCGTTTAATTGATTATTCGGTTCTAAATTGAGACGGGGCTCGATGGAGCCTTCCTTTTTTTCTCCAGTTAAATTTATAGACATCCGATAACCACGCATCCCCCGTATTGTGCGAGTCCTTACAACGCAAATAATTAAAATCCACGGCGCGTTTTAAAGCCAGTCGCGCCGCGCCTTCGAAATTAATTGATTAGATTTCGTTAATCTCCACACCTATTTGCTCGAAAGGAAGACAAACAATTTCTAATCGAGAGCGGTCAGGTCGAAATCGCCTCACTCCATCAAGCGGAGCGCGTCGCGCGACGTTCGTTTGATGAGAAAAGTAATCAGATAATGAGCCGCGTTATCGGGAAATTCGATACGATAGCCGCAATGGCAGAAAACGCGGGCCCCGTTTCGACGATGACGAAGACCGATGTTAAATCGTTCGTTTATTTTTCGCGCGGGTAATTGCTCGGGGTCTTTAATTAGCTTGAGTTGCCTTCGAGGGCTTGTTCGTTCGAAATTTACTTCGAGAAGAATGAAAAGAGTAGAACTTTCGCATTTATTAATCCTCATATTCTCTAAAGAATTTATTGGTTTTGGTACCAGACTATAAGGAAAGCTTGTTGGAAAATTGCACGCACATGTGCATGGACCAGCCCATTCGGGTTTTAAAGTATATCGAATATAATAGTCTCGAATTTAATCAGTACAACATATGTGAGTATGTGATAATGCTGTCACTTCGAAAGAACGATGATACCAAAGGGATATGCTCCTTTTCCCTATAGAAATATACTAAATTTATTCGCATATTTTCTATCGTAATGTTATTTTTTCCAGTTTCGAAATTTTTACGGTCGTTGGCATGTGTGTGTGTGTGCGAGCTTGATGTGTAAATGACATGGAAAACAATTTGTATAATAGAAAGATATCGAATTTAACGCAATTATCCGTATTATAGTTTGATTATCTCGTGATAGATGATCGCTCTTGGGTATAATCCCAATATTTAGTTCAAAATCATCACTAAATCAATATTATTTCCATCTTCTTGGTACCAGAAATTTCCTTAATTTACCACCTACTTTTAAACTCTTCATCTTCACTTTAAGATACTTTTTAATTGTCCCTTTTTTCCCATTTAATTCCATTTTCTTTTTGAACAATCGAATGTACTATCGAAATTTTGTTAAGACATCAAGCTACTCGACTAACAATGTCTAATATTATATCCCTTTTTATACCGTTCATTAGATTCTCGATAAAACGAGCGAGATAGAGGGAAAGCTCGTGAATGTTTCGAATCTATTACGTTCATCGAGAAGTCTCAACGGAGGCAGCGCCTAACCCTTCTGATCTCCCAATGGTGTCATGTTGACGACATGATATAAAGGGACATAATTTGTTCCCTTTTACGATTTATTAATTAGAGGGCGGAATTAATATACATATTAGACGTTCATTTAATTCCGAAGTTGGGTGTTTATACATATTCCGGTTACGTGGGAGTCGTAAATAATTCGGTTTTTGCGCCTTTTTTCGAGGACGAAACCAAAAATTATTCGTTGGAGGTTGTTTCTAGGGAAATTTATTTGTAGGTAAATAAGAAAGGTATAATTTATATTCTATAACAGGACGTGCATTCCTCTACAGCATTCTTCATTGGATTGTTCGAAAGCTCAATAAGCTTTACACCGGAGCGAACGATGACCTCATTAATAAAGTTTCGAATTTAGCGGAAGGTGATTTAGGTTCGGAATTGGAATGGAAGGCTCTTGGACGGGTGTTTATCGGGTCCAATTTATGCAATAGCTGAATGCAATTTGCAGAGAATGTACACTCTAGAATGCCCATTTATCAAGGGCCGTTTATGAAGCTAGTTATGTCTTGAATAGGAATGCTTACATTCGTTCCCTATTGGGATACATACCTCCGTCCTCCGTCAGCGGTTTCCACCTCCCATCAATAATAAATATATAGATACTGCATTTTAACGAACTTTTCTATTAATTCAAATCTGCGATTATTATGTATAGCACATGTATTTGCTGGGTAAATAAACAAAACCATGCGAACAAGTGTTTATACACGGTCATTGTCTCAAAGCGGTCGGACGCCCCAGCGTAAAAATCCACAATTACAAATGGTAATGAAATAGAACAGCGTTCAGTTCACACCCTATACAATAGGCCTGTGATTGCGACAGGATAATCCCGGCTTTAGGCCACAATTGGCAGGATCCGTAACGTGAGCATCAACAATAGGGACAAACCTGATGCGTTTGATGTGCGCTATTTAGATTATGGGTTTTCGATACATATACGCAGGGCGTTCCGAAAGTAAACGGCAACACATATCGCTAATTAGCGATTTTTATTATTTCACCTGATAGAAGGTTTACTTGAGTTGTTGTAGTAATTCCATTAGAGAGCCAATTTAGGAATTAAATCAAAAAGACCAATTTTAATTTGAATAATTAAAAACCGGCCTCATTTAGTAATTGTGCCCTGCATACATTCGCCGCCCAATTCGGGCGAAATGAGTAGCGAGCCGGCGCGCTCCAGATTTAAACCGGGCGAAATCGTGCATTATTAAAATAACTTAAAGCGCCACCTCGAACGCGGTAAAACTCCTATAAGTAATGCATGCGAAAAGGGCGACATAAAATATGTGTCCGCTTATGCAGAAAAGGCGAGCTTCGGAGCTTTACGTGCGGCTTTTCCGAAGCACGTGGGATTTATCGTAAAACATTCCGCCGTTGGTCCGAGATGTTAGGGGCTTGTTTGAAAGAGGCCAGTTGGTTTTCTTTATTCACGGCCGTTTACTTTCTTTCATCGCTTGTCGAGTTTTATCAGGTCTTTCTATAACGAATTTTATTTAATGGGACGGCTTTTTATTATTTTCTGATGGTTTGTGCGAGTTTTAATGAGCTTTACTGTACTATTGGGACTTGTATATCGTAATAAATATACCGTATTTTTACAAAATGATGTTATGAACACAATTATTTGGATTATTCGCAACAAGAAAACGGAAACTGCGTTGAATTCGGCTCAGACTTTTCCGCATATAAAAGCGAAACTATTACAGGCGTTCCCAGACGACACTTCCTGAAATATGACGGCATAATCCTGCTTAAATATACCCACATATTTATAAGGTCGCTACTTTGTCATTCGTGAAGTTTAGATTGGATTTTGTAATATATGTAGTGTTCTCTCGGATGTTTCCCATCCACCGTCGTTTCTGTAATGCTGAACGGTATTTTCAAAGTTTTAGTCTTATTTTGATACGAGAGAAGTTGCTCTATAGAGAAAAAAGGGTGTTAAATTTGATGCATTTTAGTAGCTAATTATTTGCCGAACACTTAATATATTTGCTGATACGAATGTAGTAACTTTTTCGTTGTATACAAATTCGAATTTATTATGTATTAACCGGAATATTGGTAATTCGATAAAGTGTCCTACCGAAGAGATAGATGAGGAAACGTATATAAAACAAATTCGGGAAATATTGCGGGAACGTCGTTCGCAGTTTTATCATCAGCGCGTTTCGAAGTCGATACGCGCATAAGTCAAAGTTATTTTGAAATAAACCCCCCTAAAGCGGACGTAACGGCCCTACGTGAATTAAGATATATCTATACGTAAAGTAATAGAGGTATAAAATAAAAATTTTGCGGCAACTTATATGGGTCGTATATGTCACACAAGTGCACATAAAATAAAAACTTGCAGGTGGACCGTTTGTCACTGAATATTACATGAAATTAGATTTCCGTTGATAAACTTGAAATGGTATTTTCGAGAATGGGCTCATTCGACACTTTTTTTTTATTTGCTTTTTGGAAAGACCACACAATTTTAAGTCACTATGCAAAAAATCAGAATTAAATTCCATGTAGAAGTCACTTAAAAAGGCCTTAAAAACCGTCGCGACGAGCCTTCGCTCGAATTGACTGTGACGTCACTGCATGCGTTGCGAGAACAGATTTGTAATGTAGGCTGTCGATTGAACGCGCTCTTAGGGTTTTAAATAGGCTTAGGGAGTTTTAAATAATGACGGACAATAAATCAAAAAATAGTTACAAATATTGCATTGTTCCCAAATGTCGAAGCACTAGTTTTAAGACGCCTAATAAAATATTTATTAGTCTTCCGCGCGATTTAAGAAAAAACAAATTGTGACAAAAATCAATGAAAAGAAGTATGCTGGTTAGTACTAAGTCAACACATTTTGTCATATTTGTCGCATTTTGTAACACACTAATTATAATAATTAGTTTGCTTAGTAAAAATATTTAATTTTTTTAGTTTGAAAACGATATGGATAATTACATGTATTTTAAAACAATGGCTAATTCCCAATAAAAATGAAGCAAGATGTTGTACCTAATATCTTCGACTGCTAAAAAGTTCAAAGCGTTAAACTCACTGTAAGCAAGAACAATGTTTTTAAAAAGACAGCGGTAAACTACTATCGAGGATTTATCAACCTAGTTGTTCTAAAAGTACTCGGAATGAACAGAA